ATACAATGGCAAATGCTAGTGTGGCAAAATAAAGATATAAAAAATGCAATAGTTAAATATTGTTAGCAGGGGTAAAAAAGTCAGCAAAGATACAAAATTAAGAGCATCAGTTTATACTAACAACAAATGCCAGATTTCATTGTTACATACTAAGCCTTCTAAAGGATTTTGGATTTTTGTCATGTTATGTGATCCTTATTATAGGATAAGAAATAATCTGCATCGCTGCTTTTCCATCCAGTCCTACCTGTCTTCACTGTCTTTGTGTCTTGATTGCCTATATCAGATATTCTTGTACATGCAGTGCTTTTCTTTACAGCCTCCTCATGCTCCACATAGGAATAATGTTTAAATTTAAGCACTGAACTACAGAGATGACTTAGTTATCTTCCAGGAGGTTTTGAATACCCCAAAATATGTACAAGTGACATAATGAAGAAAAATATGAGTATGTGATGCTTAATACAATAAGTGTAGAGTTAGCCTGAAGCAGTCATATAATTCTCACACATTTCCAGAATTGATCATTATTTCATATTAGTAGCAGCAGCCACTTCTTTTAAGTGCCACTTGAAACCATCAAAACTAGTTATCTTCAAAAGACTTTTTTTAAAAGTTAAATTTAGATAAAATGAACTTTATGACTCACTGAAATACCCACTAGATTTCTTTCTTATAAAGGACAAACAAGCCACGCAGCAATTTTGACAGGAGGTATTCAAGTAATAAATGATACATACTGCACTAAACTTCAAGGATGATGGGTAGAAATAATAGACAGACTTCAAAGGTTTGCATAGAAAAGAAGAATGTCATAGCTCTTGGGACTAAAAACATAGGAGCAGAAAGTTAATATAGTGAGCTTTGTGCAGATAGTCTAAAACTGTCAAAGCCTGGCCCCTTTAAAACAGAGTTGTCAGAACAATTAACTTCAGGGGAAAAAAAAAAGCAAAGTCATAATGAGGTGACAGTGAAGGAAAATCCTTTCTTCAGTTCTGAAAAAGGATACAGTATTTTATCAAGAGGAAAGTCTTATAGGGATATATTTATAACATGTATAATATATAATAACACTGAGATTTTTTAAGCTGAACAGGTACATAGTTTGGAAATACATAGAAGATGAAGGAAAGGTGTTACTTGATTGGTCCAAAAACAAAGGTTGATCTTCCATAATCAGAGAGCTTTTTATGTTACGGCTCTAACAAACAATTCCAGTCAAATTCCAAACTAATTAGAGATTCCCCGAAGTTTCATTTGCCAAAATGGATTGCTCAAAATAAGACAGTTCCACATCATTTGAACTTTCTTTCCATTTGACATATTTAAATAAATCCATCCTATTCCCCTAACTCTGAATCTGTCTACAGTTTGTAATATACTTGAATTCATAGAATCATAGAATTATAGAATAGTTTGGGTTGGAGCGACCTTTAAAGGTCATCTAATCCAATCCCCCCTGCAGTGAGCGGGGACATCTTCAACTCAGTCAGGTTTCTGAGAATCTCAGTGTTTCCATCACCTCCCTGGGCAACCTGTTAAAGTGTTTTGGCATCCTCACAACAAAAATTTCTTCCTTACATCTATTCTAAGTCTACCCTCTTTTAGTTTAAAACCATTACCCTTTGCAACAGGTCTTACTAGAAAGTATGTCCACAGCGTTCTAATAAGCTCCTTTCAGGTCCTGAAAGGTCACAGTAAGGTCTCCCCAGAGCCTTTTCTTCTGCAGAATGAACATCTCCAACTTTCTCAGCCTTTCCTCAAAGGACAGGTGTTCTAACTCTGTGAAATCAAAATAAACTTTTGTTTGTTATTTTATCTTTACTTTGCAAATGGTAATCTAAGATATGGAAAAATTGAGGCATCTAACTTCTATTATTTTGGATTCAATTGATTTACTGAGAATAAAAATTTAGCTAAACGAAATTAAGCTCAAATCTTGCAAAACTATATAAAAGCCAGCTTCAAAGTTTGGGTTGTGAAAAGAGAGACAATAAAAACTAAGTTTTTTAAAAAACTTTGGTTTTTTTTTAACTTTATATTACTTTTTTTTTTTTTAGATGCACTATTTTATTTAATTAATCTAAGAGAGTATATCTCTCAATAAAAAATATGAAGAACAGTCAGATCACAGTTCAGTAAAAGGAATTAGTTCAATCATCAGTACCTTAGTATGTATTTTGAATTGAGCAATAAAAAAAGCTAAACTGTTTAGCATGGCAAAACAGATAATGCAACTTTGCAAAGCCATGTTAATGTGTGGTGTGTGCCATAGGCTATATTTTGGTGTGTGCCATAGGCTATATTTGCAGCTTCCCACATTTACATAATAAATTTCTGGTCACAAGTATTTAGTGTTCCTTACAAAAGGAGCATTGAATCCTATGTAAACTGTTAAATACACTCATGTTTGGGCAAAACCTTGTTTTTTTAGATACCTCTCTATTGCTGCAAAGAACAAACATGCTGTTTGTACTAAAACCAGGTCTGTTCAAATATTTGCTAGCATATCTCCTTTTGCCTTGAGGCCTTTGCTTAAAGTGGTGCCACCAAAAAGGTTAGAGTAGATTTTTTTTTTTTTTTAAGCTGTAATCCAATTTGTAAAAATGTTAAAAGAAAGTTTCAGAAATTGATACATTTCCCCCCTTCAGGCAATTTTTCTGTGTTGCAGGGCTTCTAAGCCACTTGTTATCATTCCATTTACACTGGCTTGGTTTCACTGGTTTTTGTGGAGGTGTCCTGATACTGTAATATAAAGTGAACCTATAAAAGCTAGAGAGGTGGAAATGTGGGCGATTTTTCAGTTATTAGTGGCTGGCCTGTGAAGAGAGAAAGAGTCCTCTTCACAGACCTTTTCCCTCTCTAAATTCCATTTATTAGAGCAGAAAATATTATTTGTTTCTCTTTGATGGGGTTTTAAGGGTTTGGGAGTTTCAGTTTGTGGTTTGTTTGGGGATTTTTGTCCCCAAATGAAGAGTTCTGCACATTTTTCATTCCCAGATAAAAGTGGGAGAACAAATATCATCTACAGCACTCTGGATGATGTATAATGGATTCGTAAATTGAAGTTTCAAATAAAATTCATCCTCATTTATTTTGAAGTCGAAACAACTGTTCATTGCTGTAATTTTGTTCCCAACCTGATGTGGGTTTCTCTCTGAAGCCTTCTGATGTAAGAAATGCAAGTTAGCTTCACAATTGAAGTTATGTAAAATAATAGATCACTGTATACAGTGTTCTTGATTAATGAGACAGACTTTCCAAAAAAGATGACTGAATTTTTGACATCCATATGTGATAGTAACAGACATAAGTCATACAATGAACCTAAAAATAACTAATGCAAATGTTTTCTAAGATTATATCTTAAACTGTTTGACAAGGCATGGTTGACAAAATCAATGAGAGATCTTTGTTTTCCTGACTCAATTTCTGATTATAGTCTGCTCATAGAAAAGTTAACTTGGAATATATACCTTACGTGATGTTTCATCTCTTTTTTCTGAAGCACAAAAGGTCATTAGCTTTATAGTAAGTGAAATAACTTACTCGTTTTAAAGGTTTTACCATTGGTTTTACCCCTCTGGCAATAATAGTTTATGGTATCTCTTTGGGTTTTTTAGCACTCTTTACAGCACTGCTTTATTTTTGTCCAGTTTTATCAAATACTATCTGATGTTTTCTTTCTAAGCCATTTAGCATAGAGGCATATGAAAACATTTCTATAATTGCATTTTGTGTACAATGGGTAGAAACAGTAAGAAAAAATGTGGTATAATTATAAGTTCTTCCAGGAAAAGAAGGCAATTCTGCACAGCCATAGCACAGTGCTGTGGTCTGCTGGTTCAGTAGCCACGAGTCTCAGTGAGTGCTAGACATGGACTGGCTGTTTTCCTCTGCTGGAGCATGGGTATGTGCAGAAGTGCTGCAATTTCCCATTAGGCAAGTCCTCTTCTTCTCAGCATGAATAACAACCCCACTAGGCCCATCCACTGGCACCCAGTGTTCTGGGAATTGCTCTGTCTCCGATCTGCCATATGGTCCCACCATGCTGGAGCCGTCAGAGGCTTCTGGCTGCCTACCCTTTGCCAGCAGCTGCATCCCCTGGAAGGCCTTAGCCCACCTCCCTGTCCTAGAACCTGCCATGACTATGGTCCCACTCACGGCTGTGCACTGGTTTGGTGCTGGCCAACATTTCTCATGTTTTCCTGCTCACAGTAACTGCCGTCACAGATGCTGCTTTTGCAAAAGCAGGGCTTCCTGCAGCAGATGTGAATCTTGCTACCATGGATGTTTGGTGGCAACTAGAGAAACCAGCTGCTTTTTCTGAAGGCCGAATACATCAAAGGCATTCACCTTGCAGCTTCTTTCTCCTTAGTGAATGAACTTGATGAGTTTTGGTCATAAGGAACCTTCTGGATGTTCCTGAGGGAACTTTTTTTCTAATATTGCTTCCATCCTTCCCCTACTAGGAAAATATTCATTTCCTAATTCCTGCAATTAATTCTTAAGCTAAAGTCACTGGAGAAATCAGGAAATTTTTACAAGACCATACCATGGGAAAAATGTACATGCATTTATCTATATGAAAGGCTAGAATTAAAAAGTCTATTTCCTACCTATTCATAACCGATTATAAATCCTAAATTGCTGAAGAAAGAACACCAAGGTAAGAGAGGAGCCTTCTGTTCTCACTAGTGAGTAGTCACAGTAAGTGAGTACTAGTGCCCCTCTACTGAGGTGGGCACACTAGGACAGCCTCTGGTTAGGAGGATGGAAAAGCACCTGATATTATTAAGCAAATGATGGAACAGGGAACAGCTGAGAAGGTTGGAGGAGCTTCCTGGGGTGTAGGTGGGGACATGTGGTGAAAGAGGTTTTATGGCCAGCTGATGGGAGGGATCAAGTTAGTTTCCTACGGAGAGTGGAAAGGGGGAGACAGGGACAGAACAGGGGTAGGAATGCTGGGGTATTGCTGTGGTTCTATAACCTGAGAGAACATGGAGACTGAGGAGTCAGAACCTGGAGAGAGTAGCACTAAGGAAGATTTGACATTTCTGGAGTAAGAAATATAATACTTAAGGGCCTTTTTTCATTACTCTGCTTTATTTTTCTTAGGAAAGAAAGCTGAGTAACACTTGTGAAGAGGTGCTGTTGTGTGTTTTGGGGCAACCCTGAATGTTTATACAAATGGGGAAATGAGATGCTGGAAAGCAGTACTACTGAAAGGGAGCTGGGGGTTCTGGTTGATGGCAAGTTGAACATGAGTCAGCAGTGCCCTGGCAGCCCGAAGGGCCAACTGTGTCCTGGAAGGCATCAGGCCAGTTGAGGGAGGGGATTATCCTGCTCTGCTAGGGCAGCCTCACCCTGAATATTATGTGTGGTTTTGGGCACTGCAATATAAGAAAGATATTAAGCTATAAGAGAATCTCCAAAGGAGGGCAACAAAGATGGTTAAGGGCCTAGTGGGGAAGTTGTATGAGGAGCAGCTGACGTCAGTCTGTTCAGCCTGGAGAAGAGGAGATTGAGGGGAGACCTTATCATACTCTACAAATTCCTCATGAGGGGAAGAGGAGGGGCAGGCACTGATCTCTTCACTCTTGTGACCAGTGACAGGACGCAAGAGAATGGCTTGAAGTTGTGTCAGGGGAGGTTTAGGATGGATATTAGAAAGAGGTTTTTCACCCAGAGGGTGGTTGGCCACTGGAACAGGCTTCCAGAGAAGTGTTTGCAACACCAAACCTGAGAGAGTTGAAGAAGCATTTGAATGCTACTCTCAGGCACATGGTGAGACTCTTGGGGATGGTTCTGGTCAGGGCTAAGGGTTGGACTTGATGATCCTTGTGGGTCTCTTCCAACTTGGCATATTCTATGATTCTTTATGATGGAGAGGTGGGGAAGCAAAGGGTAGCTCTCGTCTGGAGGACTAGGAGTGCTCTTGAGTTGGGGCTCTGTCTCTTGCAGTGTTTCTTGTGCATTTTTTCTAAAGGAACAGTATTATCTTGAACTTGGGAGAACCCACCAAATTAGAGCCTCTGAATGAAAAACTTTACCTTGAACAATTTATTCTGTATGTCTTCCTTTTTTCTGTGACTTTAAGAAAAAAGTTGAGGCAAGGGGTATTGGGATTAAATATAAACTAAATGTATATATCTTCTGTGATAGAAAATCGGTTATAAATTATGGGTATTGTACTAACCCTATAATATCTCCTTATTTCTTTATGTATGAGACAATATCTCAGTCAGGCTTTAAATCTTCACTTCCTTTAGGCAATAGAATGGGTGTAAACTATTAAGATAAGATTTCGATGGTTCTACACATGGCAGGTAACAACCTGGTTTGCCAGAATGGATGTGCTAGTCTCTTAGCTTTATGTACAGAGGTGTCTTAAACTGTGGGTAACTCTTCTGATTTTTAACAGCAAGTGACTTTATAAAAGGTCATGTTGTGGATATGTGTCCTCTAATCATGTTTGCTCTCATAGTATTGCTGCTGTTTTCTGCTGAATAACTGGAGTTACCACCTTGTAAATTATTGCTGTAACTCCTCTTCTGTCCAGATACTCAGGTAGTTTAAACTGATTCTAATTGCTAATTATTAAAATAACATATTAATTATTTGACTTTTTAAAGCAGAAATTGAGGTGCACTTGAACAGATGATGCTTTTGAAGTGTTCTCTGTTTGTATCATCAAGGCTGTACTGGGTGCAGGTACCAGGGCTTCAGCAGCAGCAGGGCTACAGGGGGGACCTGTGGGGAAGTCCGGGGTGCCCCGTGCTGGAAACAGGCGGCTTCAAACCACCCACTGCAGGGCATGGCTGAATCCACAGACAAGGTGAGGCCACTTCAGGGAAATACGTAAGAAAGAAGAGAAGCACCACAGAGAGAAAGAGTGGACAAAAAATGAGAGAAACAGCTGTAAGACCTTCAAGGCGAGAGAAGAAGGGGGAGGAGGTGCTGTAGGCATTGGAGTAGAGATTCCCCTGCAACGTATGGAAGAGGCTACAGTGGAGTATGTGGAGAATTTTTCCTGAAGAAACCACAGCCTGTGGAAAGCCCACACTGGAGCAGGGTAAAAGTGCAAGGAGGAAGGAGCTGCAGAGCAGATGTGAATGGACCCCAGCCCCCATTCCGCTGCACTATCTAAGGGGAGAGGTGGACAAGTTGGGAATGAAGGAATGAAGTTGAGCCTGGGTAGAAAGGGGAGTAGGGAAAGGGTTTTGATGAATTTGTCTGTTTCTCAGTATCCAAACAGATTTTAATTGGTAATAAAGTAATTTTCCCCAGGACAACTCTGTTTAGCCCCTGACAATAATTAGTAAGTGATCTCTCTGTCTTTGTCCTGACCCAGGAGCATTTCCGTACTATTTCCTCCCCCCATCCAGTTGAAGAGGGTTAGAGAGACTGACTGGATGGGAATCTAGTCGATGTCCAAGGTCATCCTACCACAAAGGCAATAATAAATAAATTAATAAAATGAAGAATAAATTGATAGAGTCATATCTTGATTGCTTTTTCTTCAGTTGCATGATAGCCTAGACATATCACTCACTGTTGGTGATATCAGATGTCTGAAATACAGGAAGGGTTTGCTTGCTTTTTATTGACAGAATGGTTCTAGGAATAATTTCCCATTAAGGCAAGTGTGAGATACCACATTTTGAACATTTTTGGTGTATTGTATTTAGTATTCAGCTTCTGTGATGCAGTGAGGTATTTCCAGAGAGCTACAATAGGTTGCCTAAAGGTTTAGTCCTACAGGGTACCTTTTGGTTTGCCTTACTTTCTGATCTGCAACTGATGAGGTATCACCTGCAACTAACTTTGTGTTTTCATCTGTTAACGTGAGCTTGATACAGAAAGATCTTATGGATTTCCTCTACGTTAAATGACAATTTTAATAGTGTGTGAACCCTGAGAAGATATGACATGGATGGCAGGTGGCTCTTTGATGTTTCCTATGGCAAATGATGACCTTTATGGTAAAATGGCAGAAAGGTTAGATTTTTTCCTTATGCAGATTTTGAGAGAGGTGGAAGAAAATATCTCAGATTTTTGTAGTTTACACATGGCTTGCCCAAAATTGATTGTAGGATAAATCACTGAAACTTAGCTTTATAATTTATCTCATTATTAATAACATTGATCCTTTCAGCTATTAGTTTTTGCAAGAGACAACTGATAGCTAATTTCAGACAAGAATGTTTTGTGTTAGCCCAAAAGACTCGAGTTACTTCTGAGAAGTGGTTAGTTTGTGTATATATATCAGACACAATTGTAAACATGTTTATCAGATCTGATTGTCCTTCTAATTTCAATAATGTGTCTTTTGTAGATTTCATGGGCCTGATTTGAAAAAAAATAAATCAGTCCTCATGGATGCAGGGTCCTCCTTCCCTCTATGTTTTTGTGGGGGTTTTGGCTCTTAAATTTCAGAAGAAAATTCATTAAACCTTGAAAAAATGTTGTGCCATATGGTAATCTGAACACATAACTGCACTATAGGCAGCTGTAGGAATAAATATACAAGCTAATATAATGGTGAAAATGTTTCTATTTTTCCTTTTCAATTGCTCGTTGTTTTCTGACAATTGTGAAATCACTACATACTCTTAATAAAGGGTCTGATCACACGATGCTCTTTTGGTGGTTAGCTGTTTCTGTTGGAGACACTTTGAGAACCTTAATTTGACCATTTTGATAATGAATTTTGCAGTGAAAAATGTTTATTTAAAAAAAAAATAAATCTAGTGACTCTGGGAACAAGAATGTTCTCATTGGAGGGGAGAGGAGCAAAGCTTCTTGTGTTGAGGTTGTCTTCAAAACCTCTGCAAAGATAAGTTCATAATATAGGCCATGCTTACAGGCCTATCAGTTTTTGTGTGAACACTTAGGACTTGGTATAAATTCATAACTACACCTACGTTCACTAAAAGTACAACCCCTAATAAACTTATGAAAACCTTATTCTTAGGTTGATCTCATTATATTTCTGTATTTTTTTGGAAACTGCTGAGTGTTCTTGCTTTTCTCAGGGCAACTGCTTGTGATGGGCACTGTGCCCATGCCATCCTTATTTGCCATGGATTCATTGAATAACTTGGTTTAGGAGGGTCTGTGGTTATTTGATCTTACTACCTGCTGACATTGGAGCCAAATCTGAAGATGGATCTTGCTGTTCAGATCATTATTGAGTTTCTACTGTCACCAAGGATGAAGATGCCAGGTTCTCTCTGGGCACCAGTTCAAATACATCACCACCATCATGGTAGTGAGTTTTTCTAACATAAAGCTGTGTTTCTTATATTACACCTTATCTGTTGCTTCCCATCCTTTCTGCACATGGAAAAAGCTGGGACTTTTTAATGTATCACTCCAATTGGTAACTGAAGGCAGCAGTAAGCTTCCCCCTTTAAAGATAACTCATTTTTTAAGGACTCAAGAAATCTATTCCTTCAGCCTCTTCTCATGCATCATGTGCCACAGACCCCTAAATATATTCCCAACCCCCTACAATTCTTGTCACATTGTTTAGCACCCAGAAGGCTGAGAATATGCCCTCACAAGTAAAGGGTGGAGAAGTTCTCAGTGGAGCTAGGTGGATCTATTGCTATGCTATTGAAAAAAAAAGCGTTGTGTATTTATAGTCCTTATCAGTAGAAATGGCTGATCTGTGAAATTACAGTGGAGAGTGATATAAGCAGTGATTCGGTTTTGTTTTTTTTCCCCTCAAAAGGAGTATAAACTCAGTACTAATGTACCACTGTGTTTTCTATTACAAGTTCTATTTCTTCTTTACAGACAAGCCATATATATTCCATCTGTGCTTTAAAAGTATTTCAGTGTGTGCATTTTGTGCAGATTAATGCTGCTGAAAGTTAAGGAAGCAGCAATATTTTAAGCTTAAAGTATCACCATATGCTCAGTATGAAGTAGTGCAAGTTTATCAAATGACAATTTTATTAGCACAGGGACTTGAAATGATTCTGCTTTTTAGCACACATACTTGTCTGTCTAAACAGTTCCCTTTCTGGTTGCAGTAAAGGCCTACACATTAATTACCAAGATGCATTTTCACAGTAAAGTAGCACGTGAAGGTATGTGATTTTTCTGTATGATGAAGTGTACAAAACACATTATGATTCATGAGCTATAACCACCCAGCAAAAACATGTGTTTGAGGGAGTGTGTGTATGTGTGGAAAATGACTTAGTAGGTTTAGCAGTGTTTTAATTCTGGAAATGTCTATAGAATGACATGATAGATTTTCATCTACCATCTAGCTTTTGTTTGCACTCAGTTTTGTGGCACTGGATCTCACTGAATTTATTAGAATACTATAAAAAGATGCTTTCAGAAATATTTCAGGCAACAAGGCTACTGTAGAGGCACCTAGGTAGTCTGATGAATGACTGAAATACATATTTTTTTTTTTATTCAAGACTTTTCCATAAGCTTTTTTTGTATTACTGCAGTATAAAGACCTTGATAAAATACACTTCAGGTTGATACACTTGATGTTTCCCCACATACTTGTCTCTTCCTGTGTCTGCAAAACCTTCAAGTGCACTGACTTAAGATATAAAAGAATATATGTCTTCCTTTAATGTGAATTGCAGTGTCAACCTAAAGAATGATCTTCTAGTATTTCAAGGAGGATGCTATAGAAACTATTTTATTTACTTGGTAGCCTAAGAATCCATACTGTAAGAGTGATACCTATTATTACAGACTCAAAGCAGGTTTGTCTAGAAATCATAGCAAAATCTCAGGATGTGCAGTCAATGTTCAGATAAGTTCATTTATATGAACCAAATCTAAACCAAGTGGAGAAAACACTGATCAGGAATGAGGTAGCTAAAGCTTTGTAGTTCTGCACCAATATAACTGTTTTTGTGTTTTTATTGTGGGAGTTTTTTTAAGTCTCTTATGTAATATGAAGTGTTGAGGCAAGCTGCTTCTGTCTTTCTGTGTGTCTCAAGCTGATATTCTTTCCTTCCCCTACAATGAATGCTAGTTTCTTGTATTTTAGCAAGAAATGTTAGATCCTGGAAATACTGTAATGTTACAAAAAAAAGAAAAAAATTATAAATCCCAGAACAACCACCCTTTAAAACAAGAACTCTTTGAATCTCTTCTCAATGAAGAGAGAGACATGTAAGTAAGATCAGAAAATACATACCCTAAATTAATAATGAACTGTGTCTTACAGTACACTCCAGATGTAGGGCAGAAGTGATAAACACTCTAATTTATTAAATGGAACAAGAGGCACATTTCCCTAAAACCTGCAATGTCTGGTGAAGGTGAGAGAACATGCAAATGTCTGAACATAGGATGTGGCAAGCCTTGTGGTAGTTCTGCAGTTTGAAGACTGAGGGGAAAATCAACCTGGTTATTTCTGGAATTGGAGGAAATGAGGTGGAAAAGAATAGGAGTATTAGGTTGACAAGCACACAGAAAGTAAAAAGATTAGAGCAAACAGCTAATTATCACATGGGAGACAAGGTTATTTAAAAGGAAAGGAAGAAATTGCAGAAAGATTTTTGCTGACTTATGTATGCCTTCATCTGTATTTAAAGCTCTCCTCGCTTTGATCTCTGACTCATCTGAGTCTATTTGTTTGCCAAAGCTCAAAATTGGAAGGAGGTGGGGAACAACCTGACTGGTGTAATTCAAGCATGGAGTTCCTCTAATGTGTTTTTTATATATGAAAGTGGTCTCAAATAAACCTAATTTTCCAAAGAACGTCTAGTTCAGTGACACTGCTGTGCTAATATGTTGTTTACAGTTATTTCTTTTCTGCAGTTCCAGATGCCAACTAATGATCTATAGCTATATATTTGTGGGTTTTGTTGTTGGTGTTTTTTTGGTTGTTTTTTTTTTTTTCTTTTTTTTTTTTTTTTTTTTTTTTTTTTTTTTTTTTTTTTTTTTTTTTTTTTTTTTTTTTTTTTAAGGCATGGATTGTTTTAACCATCCAAATTAAGAAATAAAAAATTAAAGCATTTTTGGTGGGCATTTTGTGTGTATTTAGTTGGGGGGGGCAGGGTGTGTGTAATCTGTTTCAATATCTAAGAAGTTCCTTTCAGGCTGAAATTTGAGCAAAAGCTGATTTTCTGGCAGGGTTGTCCTATATATACTCAATAACATACCTCTATTTCAAAATACAGAAATTAACTAGTGATGTAAGCTACCAATATAATTTTGTGTTTGTGAGACAGTAATGGTGTCTTGCATCTTACTTATGAGAAATGAATTATTTAAAAAACCCAATATCTCAGTAGTATCAGCCAGAGCTAACAAATTGTGTTTAGTGATGTTTCAGTACAGGACCTAAACTCTTTGCTTCAATCCATTTTATCCTCAAAATTAATTAAAATATGGGGAAATTATATAATCGATACTGCAATGCAGTTATAGCTTATCCAAAGTTCTATTTTGTGTGCAAAAGTAAGACTGCTAATAAGATGGGAAATATAAGGTAATTTTTCTGAAGCTCTTAAATGGAAGTGTGGTGGGTTTATTTGTTTGTTTGTTTTCCAGTTAGTTAATGTTTATCAGGTTGAATATATAAGCTCAATGTTTTTTTCTAAAGCAGCACCTGGAGGACAGGCAGGATAGTCTAAGCAGTATCAAATTGTACAAGATATGTTTATGAGTCAATATCTGGCTATCTACCTCGAGGTGTCCTAAATTTACCTGTCTTCATCATAAAATGTATCCTAATAAATTTTTTTTTTCTCCAGTAGGTACAAATGGGTCTTTCTTTCACTGTTCTCTGTTGGAGAGTGTATAGATATGTTAACATAGGAGCATTAAAAAGCTCAAGGACATGTTTGAAATTTTGCAGTGAATGTTTAGAGGTGCATCAGAGTAAAAAGTGAAATGCATTAGCAGTTCAAATGTAAAAACATGATGTTTATTGTAATGCTCATTGCACCTACTGATTGCTTTATTTTAAAAAGTTATAGTAATTTGGGCCTTGTTCTTGCACAGGCTATCTGGATTTCAGCTTCCGTCATCTATTGTGAGTACGGGATCTATCCTCACCCTCTGTTTCACCACAGATTTTGCTGTCAGTGCTCAAGGCTTCAAAGCTATCTATGAAGGTAAGAACTCTTTTCCTACCAGGTCTTTATTCTTCTCGATACATATTGTTTATGCTGAAGTGTGATGTTTCAGTTTTGCTTGGGATTTCAATAATCAGTGCGTATTGCATTAACTTTGGGGGGTTTTTTTATAGCATACATTAAATTTTACTATATCAGCGCCATAGTCTTGATTTTTAAATTTAATTTACGCTGATACTTCAATTTCTGCTGTAATTCTTAATCAAAATTGTCAGGCTTCCAAAGCTGGATTTACAGATGATTACATTTAAATGGTTCTCTTATTATTTCCCAAATTATTTCTTTTGACAACTTCTTTAGGCAATGCCTAACTTTAGGGATATAATGATAAAAATGAGAAAAGAAATAGATGCTGACTGGTCTTGAAAGTTAATCACTAATCTTCTTGTTGTGGAAAATTAAAAAGACAACCACAAAAATATATGTATATATAAACAAAATTAGAAAAAATCAGTTGAATCTTACTGTGTGGAAGGTGTTAGACTGCAGTTATGACTCACAGTTCTTGGTAAGAATAAGGCCAAGCATTTCATGTGTTCTTGTGTCTGCTAAGAATTAAGCTCATAAAACTGTGCTGATGCCTTTTTTACAGCTCGAAGTATTAAGAAATGGTTTTGAGATCTGCAACCTTTGGCAAAGTCAACAGATACAGTTATTAAGTCAGTTGCTTGTTGGATAATGAGGGTGTTCAGAATATTACTGGAGGATTTCTTTCAAACTGAGTATGTGGTAGTGTTTTGAGGTTTTGTGTCTTTGGTTTTTTTACTACTGTCTTTTTTTATTATGGAAAATGCAGGACTCAAAGTACTAGAAGTTGCAGAAAGTTCAATTTCAGATTACTTCCCAAATTCCAAGTATTTTTGTTTGTGGTTTCACAGGTATAATCCTAGGTTGAAAGGGTTTATTCTGAAAAAGTTGCCTACAATCAGTTTAGTGCCTGAAATACTTTAATTTGTGCAGTTGTTGTGGAATAGATATTCCAGTACTATTCTAGTAGTGGAATACTATTAGAAGGTAGTATGGTTTGATTGTAGCTATTTATTAGGAATAGCATTTACAAGTTTGTAAGTCCTTTACATTGATCACCACTTTTGATAAAGTCACAGTAACTTACAGACCAGAGGTAGCTTCAAATGCTTGGTGAATTTCTGATCATGTTTCTCCTGGAACTCCTCGTAAGCCCTTGAAACTTTATCTCCCTTTTTAACAGTGCTGAAGTCTGCTCTGTATTGATGCATATCTTCCTTTCATATCTGATTGATGCTTTGAAATGATAGCATTTTTTAAAGTATCTTTTGAATTTAATATCCATATTGAGGTGGTTACCTAGGTGTGAAAGAAAGAGGCATAGGAGGTTTCATGACTAACTCAAACTTTCTTGTTTTGAGCTTTTGCTACTGGGGATTAGTACCTCACAATATGTCTCTCCATGGTAGCTATTCCTCCCTTCCTCTGTCCCCCAAAGCCTTATCACCTGGTAAGTCAGCTAATCAGTCTTTTTTTTTTAACTTAAATGAGTGCTATGAAGAAAGACAGAAAGTTTCATTTTAATAGTCTTTAAAAGCTTTATTAGGTAAGTTGAAAAGGAACATCAGAAATCATGAACACACCAGGAACTCTTTTTGTTCCCTCAATAGGAAGTTGCTTTCTATATACCTGTATCGTTCTCTTCTAGCAGATGCATGCAGTAGCATATTTCATCCTTTTATGCAATCTGAGCAGTTTGTTTTTCATATTGAAAAAGACAGTGAAAAAGGCTAAAGGACGTCTCTTGACTGTCAACTTAGGAACACATGCACAGAGCCACAGGCTGTAATATAATGACACTTCCTGCTGGCCTACTTTCTTGTAAAAACCCCAGCAAGAAGAGCTGTAATTAACATTGACAGGGAGCACCACTCTCCGGTTAAACAACACTGCCCCCCTTCAGATTTAGGGCTGTAAACCTGGCATTTTCAATGAGCTTTAAATTGACTTCAAAATATGACATCCAGCTCTGGAAAAAGTGGGGAAAGTCACTCAAGTCTCAGTGCACAGACAGGCAGTGGGAAATTAGGGTTCAGGAAGGAATTGCAGCAGTGAGGGGTTAGGCTTTTTTTGTGCAGGCTTGGCATGATTTCTGCTGTAATAGCAGGTTGAGTTGCCCCATAGTTCAAGAACTCCAGAAACTGTTCCCTAAACTACCTGTTTTAAATAGTGGCATCTTCTGGCCCCTGTGTCATATGTGATTTTGTGAGTACGGAGGTGTTCAGTTCCTCTAGGACAGGGGAATATACAAACCAGTCAGAAGATGTCTTTATAATCACTCTGCCAGCTACCCATCCCTAAACTAGTTTAAAGGTATCTCCTTATCCCTGTTTTGACTAGCTTTTTCATTCTTCTCTTGAGTAAGTGGATGCTGTTGAGTTGAAAGCAAGAGAATTGAAGTACTACTACTGACTACTGTCAGCTGAGAGTCTGTGGGGTCGTAATGCAGAGCTTGAGAAATGTGGTTTTAAATGTCTTAATTGGAGAGTTTTATTTGCGTGTCAGCTGGTAAGGGACGGTATGCTCAAAAAAAAAAAAAAAATCAATCTAGGATGTGTTTAATGGTGTCTGGGGGAGTGAACCATAACAGAATTTTTTGTATAGAAGTATATAGTAGTAACATTCAGAAGTTAAAGAATTGTAATGGACTGAGAACAGGAAAGAAAAAAATAAATGTTTGCATCATTATGTAAAGCTGTGAAAAAGAATCATTCTGTAATTGTACTAATTGTCTATGGTAGCAGATGAAGTAAGTCTGCAAAATTCAAATAATGGGACTTATGAAGGAAACTAATTTACATATACTTTTCATATTTTCAGGGGCTGTAAAAGCAGTGGTTTAAGTTTGGTTTTTTTTAATTCTTGTGACAGGCCACTTTTTCTCCTGAATAGGAAAATGTCATCTAATTAGGATTCCTACATTCCATAAAATGGAAAAAAATTAAATTGATTAATGTCTTTAAAGTTATTTTTGCTATAGAAAGTTGGGGTTTTTTAAAATGTGATCATGTGGGGTCAAAGCTGGCATTTCGATAGCATGGGGTCAAAGCTGGCATTTCAATAGCAATGGCTCCTGTCTTTCAAAAGACTTAATACTGCGTTAGATCCTGTGCAGTGCTGAGCCTGTGCTTTGCAGAGCAAAGGGGATGCTGTTGTGAGGTTTCACCATTTTTGTCTCCAGGGTGCTCTCTTCAGCTCTCTGGAGAAAGGGGGTAGGGCACTGAACTAGGGAAGAAGGCATGTGAACCACTTTAGTGCCAACTGAACAGCCTCTGAAGTTACACCCATAGGTGGTATTCCTAGCAGAGAGAACACTGCATCCCTTTCCCTGAGATTCTGATCTATGCGTTTTGTAGAGTATACTCTTCATTTATGACTCACTTCCTGTGCACCAATGACATAATTGTATCCTTTCTGTTCTTACGGAATAGAAATAAGTTAATGGAGCAAGTAAAACCGCATTGTGATGCTGTAAGCCCTTGAAGATTGTTAGTGCTTGTGTGACTTAGCCTGCTGTCACCTATATTAATATTATGAACACTAACATTAACTAAATGAGATCTTTGTGGCAGTAGACCAGAGAGTTTTAACAAGACATTAATGTAGTTAGGCAGTTACTGATTTCTTAGGCTGAAATGCAAGTTTCTTTAGTGTGTCATTACTTGACTAGATTTATATGTCCATTTCTGAGATTCTCTAGTATTTTTAACTGATAATACTTTCATCTTGCTCAGTGATTATATCAGCACTCTAAATTCTAGAACTGATGGAAGCTTGAATTTTTAATTTCTGGAAATAAGATTCTATGGAATTTTCAAATACATGGTTATATAAGTGAAAACAACTATGAAATTCAGTAGTAAATTCAGTTTATAGCATTTGTCAACTTAATCTGCTAAATGATTTATTGACCATTACCATCACTGGGTATATAAATATAAGTTTCAAGCAATGGAATTGGTGACTTGGGGGATAGAATCTCTTTCTGTAATATCTGATTGTTTTTTATAATTGCAGTGGTTTATATCATAGAAAATATGTTTAGCCTTTGCAGGAACTGCACGAGGAAAATAACAAACTACTTGGACTTGTACAATGTCCATGTTAAAATCAGTTTAATTCTTGCTCTCTATAAGGAGGTTAACGAACTATTTTTTAAAAAGGTAGTTTAAGGGCTACACAAAGAATTTAAAAATCAGTGTTGCTTTATCACTGTAGAAGTTTTCTTTGGAAAGTGAGAATTATTTCTCCCATACAGAACACTTGAGTATATTTGGCAAGAGAGACAAGTACTCTTTAAATGACACCAGGATCTGAACTGTTGCACATGTGTATAATTAATTTGAGTAATGCATGTTAGAAGTGTTATATGGTCTTTCTTCTATCAAAGTAGGATGACCTGCCATTCAGGGAATCCAGCTGTCAAGTAGAAAAAAATGGTGAATGTAGAAAACTCAATTAATGGTACACTCCTGATTATCAATGTAAAATGAAACATCATGGCATGCTAGCTTAGACTTTGTTATACTGATGTCTGCTACTAAACATTAAACTGCCCTCTAAGGTTAGCTTAAAATGAATCAAGGATTGTTATCTCATGTTTTGGGGGGGTTAGTTTTTGTGTGTGGTGTTTTTTTTGTTGTTTCTAATTATATTTTGTATTATAGAATTGCAAGCCAGATGTACTGGACTTGATGTTGCTACCTTTCCTTCACCTCTGTTCTACAGCAGCAGGTTTTCTTTGCCAAAGGAAGAGCTCTTGAACATCCCTCTATCCTCTGCCCTCTGGTCATACTTCTTTTTTTCTTTTGATTTCTCAAAGCTTTCCACTCACATCCAGCATTAACGTTTATACTGCCAGTCACCTTATCCTGCCTGATACCTCTTCCCTGAAGCTTCTTTTTAAATCCCTTTCAGCATCAACAGCAGAAAGTAGTAATACACCTCCACAG